CGAAGAAATCCAGATTGTAGCTATCTCTGTCTTTCACATCGAGACAACAATTTTTGGTTTTGTCGTCGCTAGGTGAGTTGTTTTGTCGTGCTGCGACAAAGATGCGTTCTCTTGTTGACAGTTCTGAGGAGTGTTCTCTAGAACTGGTTTGGGTTGTGGGTTTTGTGGTTGTTAGTAGTATTTCGGATATTTTGGGAAGGGGAATATTGTGGTTTTTACTAGGTTTAAGGTCCCTTTATTTTTTTTTGTGTAAGGCCAGAACTTTGCAGCGTGCGTGTGGGGTTCACAGTGACTCTCTTCAATGGGAAGTGTACTTCTCAGGCTTCGGCGTCGGGGGGTGTCATTTTCATGGACGGATCGAACTGCCGCTACGATCCCACCGGGGGTTGTAGCATTGCACGGTCGTTCGAGTCAGTCGTTTAAGTGCTGGAACCATAATTCGTCTGGTTTTCTCTGAGGGGTGCCGTCGCTTGTACGTCCAAGGTGGGGGGTGGCACTACTGCGTTAGGAGCAACATGGCTGTACATGTCACTGTGAGGACCCAAATTCAGTGCAGAGTTCTCTGGATACCAATCATTATTTTTCCCGTGTATTGCCCGTTTCAGTGTGGTGCAGTACTATAACTGTACTGGGGTACAGAGAGTCCCCCTGGTGGTAAGACCTAAAGCATTTTAGTCTGGTATAGTACTATAACTGTACTGGGGTACCGTTGTCCCCCTGGTGGTAAGACCTAAAACATTTTAGTTTGGTAAATACTAGAATTTACTTTGGTATGGGTTATAGGTAGTGTGTCGCTAGCGCGAGGGAAAATTTCTCGTCTTGTTTTTCCTCGTAAATTTTCCTCTGGGAAAGGGGGTGTTGTTACGTTCCAAATGTTGCATTAGGCTCCATCTCTAGTTTTGCAACTGGTTAGGTGTCACAGCTCAGTTTATACAAAAACAGATATGTAATATTGGTTGCCTACAGTCAAGGTAGAGAACTGAAATTTTATTAATTTTATTTTGGGGGAAAATGATTTTTTTAAGTGCTAAGAAACTAGGGAAAAAAATTCTTTTTTTATGAAGGAATTAATTTATATGAGGTTTCTAGTGATATTTTGTAAGATTTGGTGTTCCAAAATTTAGGATTTTGAATCTCGGGTCTAGTCGGCAAATCTTCGTGTGACGAGCGCTGGATAACGGCTTTTAGGTTTGAAGAGGCATTCTTTAGGTGAATTGGCGTGGAATAAGTCGCTGTATTAAAGTATTTACCGGCAACTGTATTTTGCTGTTTCCTGAGGGATTTCATTCTAATACAACGTAGCGGATGTTCCCCTAGCTTTGTGTCCTTAGTGGAAAAGTTTGTTTTGGTGTTGGAATATTCGCAGATTCGCCAAAGGGCGGTTTTACCAGCCACGTTTCATCTTTGGAATCAGTTACAATAAGACCGAAGATCGAGCCTTAATCACGATCCAGATAGCCAAGTAGTTTACGGCTAGTCTTTAACCCTTGGTCTGGCTAACAAGGGTTCAGGTTCCGGTTTCGTTTCGTTATCGTTTTGTTTTTGGGTTTTGGTTTTCCCATTGCCTGATTTTAACCGTTTGGTGGTTGATTTTCGTCTTCCTGGCTGGACGTAGCCCATCATGTGCTCCTGATTCGACCTGGGAGGTGTTTCGACCTTCGTACTGTTCTCTGCGACGACTTCGCCGTTACAGCTTTTAATGGGACTTCCCCCCCCCCGCTGCGTCTCAGTGGACTTAGAAATTGTGAATCTCGAAGACACCCCGATTGAGGAAGTCACACAAGTAACGACGTATTTTATGTGATAAATTCGAGGTATTTATCGAGCTTTAGTTTTTCAAGCGAAGTTTTATGCGCTATTTTGTTAAATTTTCTTATTCAGATAACATTGTTAAGAAAATAAAGAAATTGCGGTCTCAGGTATTTTATATATTTACATATTTTCCGGGTATGTAAACTGCGCCTAAGGGTAGATAATTTTTTTATTTAGATTTACATTTTATGTCATGATCTGCACACACACCTGAGCTCACGTGGTGTCGTATTTGAGTTAATACATTTTTTTTACTGGTTTTAATTCACACACCAGTCCCCTTAGCGTTTGGTAATTTTTATTAAACATCTTAACCTGTAATATATATTTATCTAGTGTTACTTGTTGATATCATATTTAAGCCAGTAATACCCGCATTACTAGATTATTATTTTCTTTTAAGCCTATGGTAGAGGGAAATAACAGTGTATTTTGTTTCATTTTATGTAATCATTAAATTTGACCAAATCTTGATCTTAGACAATTTGTATTTTTATTTATCTCACATGTATTTAGGTTGGTGTATCCTATACTGGTAATTTTGGCGATAAACCTATTGGTAAGTTGGTGGTTTATCATAAGCAACGTAGGGAAGGCTGTGGGCCAATTTACTTGGCGCCCCTTTGATAACTTTTGTATACTTCAATGGACTGCACGACCAGTCTCCACTGTTTGTCTAACCGCGAGCCATTCTCATACTGTCACCGTATAGTTTTTTTTGTCGGTGTACGTCTAACCTATATGTGTTGAACTAGTATTGAATTAGTTTTTATAAATTGCGTCTGGTTCGCCATAGTGCATGGAAAAAAAAACAGATTTATTTGACTTGCGGCAATCATAGACATACTATACAATTATATTAACAGTTTTAAATATAATAACATAAATATAATATAATTAAACATAAATGTAAACAATTGCATAACCTCACAAATCATATGTTTGTGTCCTCCTAAAACATGGCGCGCGTGCTGAAAAACTTCAAAGGCGGCATCTGAGAGTGGCCGTTCTGATTGTTTATTATTCTCTGGCCAGTTCATCTCAGTCAGAAAATCATGGGCAGTTAAAATTATAGTACGGATTATTGTACTTGCAAATTAAACAAGAAATTATGAAAGTAGAAAAAATATATTTAATTTTTTGTAAAAGAAACAAACGAAGTGAAACAAATGGCGGCAAAAGCTTTAAAAAAATTGAGATGTAAATGGACCTTGATATTATTGACACAGAATAATAAACAATCAGAATGCCCACTCTCCATGGAAAATTAAGTACGCGCAGACGTTCCGCCATGTTTTAAAGGGAACCAGTGGCGTGCAAAGAAAAATTAACCCGGTTTAATTGACTTACGGCAATCATAGATATACTGTACAATTATATTAACATTGTTAAATATAATATAATTAAACATAAATATAAACAATTACATAACCTCACAAATCATATGCACAGAATAATAAACAATCAGGATGCCCACTCTCCATGGAAAATTAGATACGCGCAGACGTTCCGCCATGTTTTAAAGGGAACCAGTGTTGTTTATATGCTGTGCACAGAAAAATGAACCCGGTTTAATTGACTTCTTCTTCTGGTTCCTATCCGTTTCGGATGTTGGAAATCATATTGGCAATCATAACCTTGCTCGCTGCGGCTCGAAACAGCTCCGTTGAGGTTTTCTTAAACCATGTTCTTAAATTCCGCAGCCATGATATTCTCCTTCTACCGGGTCCTCGCTTACCTTTGACTTTACCTTGCAATATAGACTGTAGCAGGGAGTAACGGTGCTGATTTCTCATAACGTGTTCCAGATATTGCAATTTTATGCGTTTGATCGTAAACACAATCTCTGGTTCCTTCTTCATTTTTCCTAGAACTTCCTTGTTCGTGATCCTTGCTGTCCATGATATTCTCAGCATTCTTCTATAAAGCCACATCTCAAATGCTTCAAGTTTTTTAATAGTGGCGTCTGTAAGCGTCCATGCCTCCGCCCCGTACAACAACACAGAGAAAACATAGCATCTCAAATGTCTCATTTTTGTATCAAGGGATATGTTGTGACTTTTGAAGATGGCGCTCATTTTGTTAAAGACCGTTCTTGACTTACGGCAATTATATTAACATTGTTAAATATAATTAAACATAAATATAAACAATTACATAACCTCACAAATCATATATCTGTGTTATGTGCACAAATCATAGTGGTCTGTGGTTATGTTTTTCCTTCTAAAACATGGCGCGCGTGCTGAAAAACTTCAAAGGCGGCATCCTGAGAGTGGGCATTCTGATTGTTTATTATTCTGTGTCTGATGAGCATCGAGCAATAAGACAAAAGAGGGAATGTAAAGGTAGTGGGGGTAAACATATTGATAGACAGGAAGTGCCATCTTGAGAGGCCACTTTAGACAAGGATAGACAGTCTCTTTCCTTGTTTAAGAAGTCAAATTTAGTTAGGTTATGTTATTGTTTGTCCCAACTGTCACATGAAATTTTATTTATATTGAAATCTTTTACCAATTGTGTCGCTTTTTAGACTATTATAGTTAATATTTAATTAAAACTTTCTCGTCTGAAAAATATTTTATAGCTATTGTTAATAAGTGTTGGAAAATTTAAATTTAGCGCCTTTGCATTTCCGGATATGTCCGCCATCAGAGGCCACTTTTTTGGTCTCCTTTTCATAACGATTAGATTCCCTCTTTTATCTTTTTGCTCGATGCTGATGAGACTTCCTGAGACCACAGAATAATAAACAAACAGAATGCCCACTCTCCACGGAAAATTAAGTACGCGCATCTCCTTCGTGCAGACGTTCCGCCATGTTTTACGAGGATTTTAAAGGGAACCAGTGTTGTTTATGTGGTGTGCATGGAAAAAAACCAGGTTTATTTGACTTACGGCAATCATAGACATACTATACAATTATATTAACAGTTTTAAATATAATATAATTAAACATAAATGTAAACAATTGCATAACCTCACAAATCATATGTTTGTGTCCTCCTAAAACATGGCGCGCGTGCTGAAAAACTTCAAAGGCGGCATCTGAGAGTGGCCCTTCTGATTGTTTATTATTCTGTGCTGAGACTTTGACCATAGATAAATAATATTGGACTTTGACTTGACAGTGACACTGGTGACTAGTGACACTGATCTGATCTGGGATGGGAAAATGTAAAACAGTTGTTTGTTATTCTGTGGTGTACTGGTCTGTGGTAGTTTAACCTCAATGTCGTCAATAATATAAATAAATAATCAAGAGGAGGTAATTATCCTTATAACTGGTTTTAGCAAAATATGTTATGGATCCTGAAGAAAATTTACATCGATTAGAAGGTAGTTCTTCAACAAAAGGTGGATTAATAGTTAAGAAAAAACCTCATGTATTTAAGGTACCCCAAGTATCCCTTTTTGGTTTAGATAAACTTGCAGCCCAAAAAAGGAGAGAAAGGGAAGCAGCAAATAAAATATCCTTTGATATCAACGAACCAGAATTAAATGAAATTGAAGAAAGTCATAAACCTGAGAAAAGTGGAAATAAAAGAAAGTTTAGAGAACCACAAGAAGAAACACCAACATATACTGGGGGAATTAGCAAAGAAGCTAGAGAACGACTAAGGGAAAGAATAAGTCATAACTTATCAAAAGGAGTATATGCTACAACTAAAAAAGATTCTAATAATTATGAGAATACAAGACAAGAAGATAAATATAAAGGAAAATCAGAAAGAGGGAAATGGAGTGAACATTCTGACAAAGGAAAGTCTCCTCGATTTAAAGATGAACCAAAGACTCCAAATTTGTATTTGAAGGAAAGTACCTCAAAAACATCTTGGGATGAAGATGATTATGTTCCCATAAGGAAGTCTGATTGGGATTACCCTACTCCCTCCTTACATAAATCTAAAAGTGGAGAGTGGTCCGCTAGAAGTAACAAATCATCTAAACCTAATAGAGGTGAAAAATCTGTTAAGCTTGAAAATGAAACTCCCAGACCTACTCCTGCCCACAGATATAATGCTTGGGTCAAAGATAGAAAAAGAACAGGTGCAACACCTAGGGAAAATGAGAAAGAAAAAGTAAAATGGGATAACACTGTTGACAGGGAGAATTGGGAAGAAGAACAAAAAAGGTTGGATCGTGAATGGTATAATATGGATGAGGGATATGATGATGAGAATAATCCATTTGCTAATGTAAGTGATGAATATACAAAGAAAAAGGAGGAACAGTTAGAGCAGAGAAAGAAGAAAAGATTGTCAGCTCAACAAAGACAGATAAATAAGGACAATGAACTTTGGGAAAGGAATAGAATGCTAACTTCAGGTATGTGTTGTTTTTTGTTTTATACAGTAATAATTTACTTCCTTACTCATTTCTTGCCACAGTTTAAGTGTAATTATATTTTAGTGTGATGATACTACCTATGTCCTTCCATGTCTGATTATTGTTTTCATTATTGTGTATAAAGTTTTAATTCTAATATAGAAAAGTATAATATTTATATACATAAAGTACAAATAGCTTCTAGGTGTTTTAAGATTATAATATTATTTACAATTATGCTGAGACTTGCAAGCTTTTTAGGACATCAAAAGTTCACAAGGGCTGTTAAGTACATTAATTGCTACATTTTTTCCTTTATTGTTCAGAGAATCTTAAATTCCCCAAAGTTTGTTATTGATTGTTGCTAAGCATTATTTTCTATATAGGAAATAAATACATTATTTACTTGTATGTTTTAAAAAATATTCCATTGTTAACAAACTAAAAATGTTTTCATAATAGTTTATACAACTTTCACATTCTCATTACTGATTAAAAAAAATAATCACTTGTTTATTATATTTGATAAGTACAAAATGTAAAATTATTTCCTGGATTAAATCTTGTTTTTTATAAAAATTGCTTCTTGTCAGAAAAGAAAAGATAATTCAAGTTTACAAAAAAAATTAATGTTAAATGCACACTTATCTTGTCTTATACACGCTCTATAAGCGTTCTTTTAAAGCTCGTTATTTATTATTTATTTATTTATTAACCTTCCGTTACTAGCGCCAATTTTTTGTGATCGAATACTCGCGCACGTTGCAGAAGACCGGGTCAGAAAAAATGGGGTCAGTAATATTTTTTAATTTTCTTTGTTTGAAAATTGTGTACAATTATATTATTTAATGAATATATGATCATATAATTTTGTAGATATGCGTTTGTTTCAACATTATATTAGTTTAATGAAAAGTTAACTAATTTTCATTGTTATCCATTTATATATACAAAAAATTTTAAAAAATTAAAAAAATACATTGAATATTGTTAAATTTGTTTACAAGGAACTTCAAGAAATTAATTCAATACACAAAAAAATCAAAAATGAAGAGTAATTGCAACAAAAAAAAAAAAATAAGAAATATTAATTAAAATTTTCATAACATGAATTACACAATGATGTAACATGTTCCAAACACAGATATTTTGTGCATATTTGGCAGTAATATTTTGTTTTTCTATTTTTTCGCCAATGACAAACAGCACAGCGACCTTGAGTTCCAGGTGTTATGACTGGTACTTGTTCCGCTGGTAAGCCACATATCTCCCTAAGCCTCATTCTGATGGTTCTGGGTAAACTGGTAGACATAGCCTGTACTTTTTGGTAGTCACTGGTTAGTAACATCGAGAGTTTTAGTAAAAATTCTTTACATGGTGTTTTAGAATCTTCATCTAGACTATTATAAACTACAAAGTTTATTCCTGCTACATTCAACAAACTAAAAAAAGGAACCATGGGCCATCGTCTTGTGGCACGGGTGCAATTATATTGCGCGCATAATTTATCTTCCACATCTACTCCGCTCTTCGTTTCATTGTATGTAATTATCATCTCAGGTTTACCTGTGGTAGGGTCAATATCTCTCCATGGTGCATTGTAGAGATAAGTAGGACGTTTCGATTTTTTTTTTGGCATATGCAAAACTAAGGTGATTCCGTCATTAAATCCAATCATTGAAGAGCCTGTGCACCTGCCGTTATTTTGTATAAATTCTAATGGCAACTGTTTTTTATTTTTTCGAATAGTACCCACTAAAGTTAATTTTTTTGATTTAAGGCTATCAGCTAGAGGCACACTACAAAACCAATTATCTACAGTAACATTCCTATTACTCCCATAAATGTGTGCACAAAGTCATTCTACTACGTCTTGCGTCGCTGTACTAACTTGAAAAGGGCCGTTTCGTTGTTTTCTGACGTAAACTTCTGAGTGGCTGGTATAGAATTGTTTTGCATCGGAAATGGCAAAAATATTTATACCATATTTATTCGGCTTGCTAGGAATACATTGTCTGAAACTACAATTTCCTCTAAAAGCTTCTAGTTTCTCATCTATGGTAACATAACCAGAATGAGAATAGCATTTTTTAATGTTGCTGTTAAATTTTTCTAACAATGTTCGTATTGGAGCCAGTTTATCTACCTGTATTCTTTCATGTCTTGTGTGAATGTTATCAAATTGCTGACATTGCAAAATAAATTGAAATCGAGGCTTACTCATTACCAGTCGAAAAGTTTCAATGCCAGTGCCATCTGTTCTCCAGAGATCCTCTAAATTCATGTGATTTGCTTTTCTAATACCAGCAAGATAAAGGAGACCAATTAGGGCTTTGATTTTGACAATGTCGGTAGGTTTCGCATCTCTTTGTCTACTGTAGTCATCTGTAACACTCTGAATTTTTATATTTGTACAGTCAACAACTAGATTTAGCATTTCTTCATCAAAAATGCAATTCCAGATGTCAATAGGTGTTGAGTGAGTTTTAACAAATTGTTTTATAGCTGGCAATTGTACAAATATATTGGTACTGCGTGTTCTTACATTCTTCGGTGGACAATGTTTTTTCCACTTTGTTAATTTATCTTTACCCATAAAGTACGGCTCCCTTCTGAAACTAACATTTTCTTCCTCTGTTTGATCGGCTTCCCAATTCCTGTTCAGTATCACTACATTCAGATCGTTCTTCTACATGGTCAATTTCATTTTGTTGATCATTATCTTCATATGTTTCCTCGTTAGTCGATACTTCCTCAAATAATTTTAATAATCTCTTTTTCTCCTTCTCGTAATTCATATTCATATATCTATAAATATACAAATATATAAACATTGAAAATAATAAAAATAACTTAAATCACCTTGCAGAGTAAAACTTTCAATGTCTGATCCAAAGCACAAAAATGTGTCCACAATACTCGCACCTGGTGTACCGGACCGTGTTGCCTAATAATAAAATTATAATGCTCTTTTTTACACTACACACAGACTTCAACGATAAGTGACCAACGACTGAAGAGGTACATGAAGCAGCAATTCCAAATCCCCACTACAATCAGAGTTACTTGAAATTATTTACAGGGCCGGTCTCATACACCGTGCTCGAGTAACGGAAGGTTAACGGATATACCATTTACATTGGAACAAAATATATAAAATTTTACAAAGTAAACATAACATTGGAAAATATTTAGTAAAGTTTAACAAAAACTAATAATTAACTTGAATACAAACTAATATCACACAAATAGCAGTCTCTTTATCACATTTTTAAATTGTTCTAAGGACTGGAAAAATAAGTCCAGATCACTTTGGTACCTGTTATATATAGTCTCACCATATGAGTAAGAGGCTTGAAGTATTCTTAATTAAATTGATGAAATGGTAGATGAAAGAATGAAGTATGTCTAGTTCCATGAAGAGTTTTAAGACCAAAGTGATTTAAAAGTTCAGGGCAATTTATCAAATTATTAGAAATTTGGAAAAGGAATATTAGACAAAAATAATCTTTTCCCTGATTCATAGAAACCATTTTCAAGTGATCAGCTATCATACTATAACCGTATGGGACAGAGAGGACATGAAAGGCACTACGGTAATGATAGTGTATACCAAATTTATGCTGAACACGATCAAGCTTGTCTATAGATGTTTGATAGTAAGGTCCGCATACAACTATTGCATATTCTAGTCTGGAGCGAATGAGACTATTAAAAAGAATTGGTAAAACAAAACATGAAAATTGAGAACTGTTTCTAGTTATAAACCCTAATTGTTTTAATGCACTGTTTACTGTGACCTCTAGATGCTTACAAAATGCTAATTTACAATCAAAATAAACACCTCAATCCTTAACACAGTCCTGCCTATACTCGGAATTCAATAGGATAGTCAGGTTATCACTTAGAAACCATAGACCCTCGAGGGGTCCGAGATGCGAGACGCGTGTAGTTCAATGGTGGCGTGTATATTTTTAAAATAAGGGAAATAATAGGGAACTTGCACATAAAAATATTTTTGCGTCAATGGTTAAATTGTTAATTTATGTTAAATATATTTTGTTAAAAGGTTATGTAAAAATATATTCAAAATATTATGTATGTCTTAACAATTAGTTGTGTAAGCCAGATGTACACACAATATTTTCATTCATTTATATTATTTTTAGTTTAAGAAATATGTACATGTTTATTTTATAACATCTCAAATGCTAAATTATACTTACTTACTTAAGCCGTCCTCTTGTACCTTACGGTGTCAAGGTGCTAAATTATATTTTCAATCCAAAACTTTCTTCCCTTATAATAATGAAATGTTACGAATATAATTATGGTTCGTAATAATTTATAATAAACAAAATCTATTATTTATAAATATCTTAAATTCATACCAAACAAGAAAGAAAATAACTTAAAAATATAAATGAAACTCTTAGTAATAAACGTAAGAATAACTAATAATTATTGTATCGCCTTGCATTTCCCAAATAGAGTATCTTCCACTGCTTTTTATAAAATTTTCCACCATTAAGACACCAAACTATAGATGAATTGTCAGATTAACCTTTTGAAAAACCCTCGTTAGTCATAATATGCATTTTAAACTAAACACGACGTAGCATTCAAATTAAGCAATTTCCCAGAACACAAATATAATACCTGGGAATTTCCAACCTAATGTAAACTGCAATTGTGAAAAACAAATTTGCTATAATAATAATAATAAAGTCATTAGGTACATACCTACTTAGAAAATTATAACCAGGTAGGACGAAGGATCTCACAGGTAGTCTCCGAATATGGCAACAAAAAATCACTATAACTGAACCTATTAGTTATTATTTTAAAGAAATATTTTTATTCTGAATCACTTCCTGTTGTTAATTCACTATCACTACTGTCTTCTCCTGGAGTAATGATAATGGGCTCAATAAGAACATCAACATGCGTGTCTATGTCCTACATTTTATCTTCTTCTTTCTGTGTATGTTTAATGCATG